GTCCCACCAAATACAGAGCATGACCTTGGAGCCGTGAATATTCGGTTTGGCCGTCGACGTGAAAGCATAGCCGGGAACTCCCGATGATTTTCTGCGCTTGTTGTTATCGTAATGAACTCATTTTTCGTCCCCAGTCACAATGCGATGCAGAAATCCCTTCCGTCTTTGCCTTTCAACCAGCTGTTCACAAGCAAACAAACGCCGTTCAACATCTTTCGACTTCAACTCGTACGGCACCCATTTCCATGATTCTGAATCATTCCCATGACTTTGAGGCGTTTTGAAATGGCTTGTTGAGTCATTCCCAATGATCGTGCCAATTCTTCTCGATTTTGACACGAGTCTTGATCAAGTAATGCCTCCAATTCTGCATCTTCGAAAACCTTCCCTCTTCCACCGCTATGCCGGTCTTCGACGTCAAAATCACCGTTCTTGAAGTGTTGAAACCACTCACGACACGTTCTTTCACTAATAGCGGCCTCACCATAAGTATTTGAGAGCATTCGATGAGCCTCAGCCGCAGATTTCTTCATATTAGAAGCAGAAAATTAAAACCTTCCGCAAATGACGAGAATTTGGCTCGTAAAATGACATTTTCAATCGCGAATAACAATGCAGACACAAATCGACTAATGTTTCGATGGGATTATGTTGACAGATGCCCAAGTTTATTGTATGACGTCTATGATCTATTTATTTCGACCACCACTTACCGCTAAAGCCATCTATAGGAAAACGGCGGAAGCAAAATTGTATACTTAATATATTGATAAGTTCTTTTTCTGTATTTTTTATTTATATCACAAACGTATTTTAAATTATATTCGGTAATAAGAAAAACGGAAAAAAATTATATTTAATAATGGTTGCAAATACAACGCTGTAACGTTGCTACGATATTACATCGCATTCTTATTGAAGGCGGACATTTTTATGATGCTATGATATTGCAACAATGTTGCACAATCTATTTACAATATTACAATATTGCAATGAGATATATGATATATCTACAGTTTTTCTATGTAATTTTCAATCCTCGTAACTCGAAAAGTACTTAATAAAACCCCTGTGAAGCTGGCCCTCTCATTTTTAAGAAAATCAATTTTTTTAGTTCTGCATAGATTTTCGATAGTTTCAGAGTTCCTGATAGTTTTAAAAAATAGTTTTGGCCATTAAAGGTATGAAAATGCAATTTAAAAATACGGAGGGGTTAACTTCACGCAGTCCTTCATTTATGAAAAAAGTTATTTTTTAGTTTAGAGTTCTGGATAAATTTTGAATAGTTCCAGAGTTCTTGATCTATTTTAGAAATAATTCTGTTTGAGAAAGTAAACAAAATGTGATTGAATATCCAATAAATAGGAATAACTTTAAAAATATTAGTTTAATTCAATTTTGGGATTAAGAATTTTTTATAGAATTCCACGGGGACTATCCAGAACATCTCAATAAAATTGTTAGGACTCTTCAAAAAATTTTTTGTACTTTAAAATTAAAAAATCGACACCTATAATCGCTTGTAACCAGGGACTCAGATCAGACCGAAACCGAAACCGGATTGTAACCGTTATTTTTGTTGGATAGAAATCGATAATCGGACCGAAATATTGTGCAGACTAATGGATCGAAACGATACTCGAACTGAAAGTGTTTTTCAGTTTGATTTCCAGTCCAGATTTTGGTTTGGATTTTTTAACTTCTTCGATCGTCGAGTTGATTGTGTTATATAGCGGCTAGGAGTCTTAAAGCAATATTATAGGATATCCACGGAGTGTTATTTGCTTATTTTCTTGATTATGATAATTTATGTAAGATTAATATGTTGTTCTATAGAAAATTATCAACAAGCTGTAAACAGTTGGACCGTTGGACTAGTTGGAACGTTGCGTATTCTTGACGTGATGTAGAAGGAAAAAGTGCAGCAAAGAAAGGAAAGAAATAATTACACATCTCTCGTTCCAGATTTCTTTTAAGGGGGTCTTTACGTTTAAGGAATAAAAAAATCATTTTTTTTTGCTTTTTTTGAAAGCTTATAATCTTAAAAATATCCCACATTTTGGAAAAAAACGAAAATTATCTAAGATATATAAAATAAAATGTGGTATTTGGGGCCGCTTGATTGATTCAAATAGCGCACGCCAATCAATTGCTATAATAACCGGTGTTGACCATTATTTATATTCAATCTTTCGAGACCATTCTAAAACATTTCTATCCAATGGATAGAAACTAGATGGAAATGAAGCAGAGTTTCATTCCCTTCTGACCATCACTTTCGTTTCTAACGGAAAACGGAAAGGTACTTGTACTAAAATGTTTTAAAACTTTAAACGCGTTTTTTTCGAAATCGTGTTTTTGAATATGGTGATCATGATTCTAAAAAAACTATTAGTCTGACTTCTATTTTTACGATTATACTCAGAGAACATATCATTATCGTCTGAACTAGAATTAATAGTCTATGTTAATGTTTTCTATGTTTTTTAAAAGGTCAAATGAGAAAAAGAATGAGTAAAATTCGATTCATTTCTTCAAACTGTCGACATTTTGAAAATATGCATGTGATATTAATTATTCTAATTCAGACGAGAATTACAAGTACTCATTAAGGAAAAGTTTCATTTTTTCTTTCAGACCATTATACCACTCTTATATTAGGTGTTGGAATTAATTCGTAGCGTTTTTTAATGAAAGAATGTTATTTATTTCACATGAGCATTAAAAAATACATTAATGAAAGTACTTCCCATCACTTGTAAAACGCTACGAATTAATTCCAACACCTAATATCTTTATCACCGTTTGACCGTGTTCACAGTGTAAACTAACTTCAATGCCATATTATTACTATTTTATAAAAAATAAATGTTAAAAAAATTTTGTACATGTATGTACTTTCTAGATTTGTATTATTTTTTAAGTAAACTTAAATTTTTAAGTAAACTTAAATATTTTCAAATGTAAACGTCCTCTAAAAAAATGTTTCTTTTAGTAAACGTGAATTTTTATGTGCAATTTATACTTATTATATTATCTTTTTCTACAATAGATAATCATACACCCATAATCGTAACCAAAAAAAATTGAAATTTAAACAGTTATGATTACCGTTGTCGATAAAAGAGCTGAAATTGCTTGGATTTCGGACTTTTCTGTTTCGGAATCGAAAAAAACCGAAAAGATAAAAAAAAGACCGAAACCGTTATCCATAAAAGGATCGGAACCAAAACCGAAATCGAAAATTGGATACAGCCTCTGATCATGACCACAATCGGAAATTCCATTTCGGTCCGAGTCCCTGCTTGTAACTTTTCCAATTTTAATTCCATGAATTTTTGTCATAAGGATTTTCGATAGAATTCTGTGGGGGCTATCCAAAACTCTCAACAGAACTGTCAGAATTCTTTAAAAAATTTTAAGAATAAAAAGAATAAAAAATTTTTTGAAGAGTCCTAACAATTCTGTTGAGAGTTCTGGATAGCCTCTGCGAAATTCTATAAAAAATCTTAATGAGAAAATTGGATTAAACTAATATTTTTAAAGTTATGACTATTTATGGGATACCTATTTTAGATATTTAATCACATTTTTTTACTTTCTCGAACAGGACTGTTTCTAAAATAAGTCAAGAACTCTGGAACTATCCGAAATCTATTCAGAACTTTAATGAAAAATGATATTTTTCTAAAATGGGGGCTGCGTGAAGTTAGCATTTTAATTTTAATATTTTTAATTTTAAATCGCATTTTTATGCCTTTAATTTTTATGCCAAAATTATTTTTTTTATACTATCAGGAACTCTAGAACTATTAAAAATCAATTCAGAACTCTAAAAAAAATTATATTGTTATATTGTTGTTTATATTTTTTAAAATGAGGGCTCAGCTTTACAGGGTCTTAATAAAAATGAACTTTATTGTAGTTTCAAACAGCTTTTGAGGTGAGCACAAGAATATGCAATAGCTACAAGAACATGCAATAAAAAAATAGGGGATTTCATTTAGAAAAGAATCGATCACATTGATTTATAATTAGCCTTGAGAAAGTCACTCAAAGTAAAGTTTATATTTTTATCATTTTTAATATCTCCCTTAATAACCTTCAACTCTTGTATGAAATATTTTTCCACGTCTACAGTCGTTTCCAAGAAATAGGGTCCAGGTTAAACTTTATGAACACTCTGTATATTACGAGTATTATATTTCTAAAAATTTATAAAAAGCAAAATGAAATCTCTAAAAATAATCTTTTTGAAAAAAAGAAAAAAATGTATGAGTGCATCATAAAAAAGATATCAAATATTACATTCTTCTTAATAAAAAACGACTGTGAAATAAATGCAATTATCCAAGTATTTCATTACGCAAGACCCATAAAATAAACTGAAAGTGACTAAAATGATCAATTGGATTATAGTGAAGAAAAAACTTGGCGTTTGTGTGTGTGTGTGTGTGTGTATTGTGTGCCCTAGTCACATTAAAATGTAATATTCTAGAATATTTTTTCTTTTTTTATAAAGGTTTTTTTAGGGATCCAATTTTAAAATTCGTATATTATTAACATGTGCTATTAAAGAAAATATATAGGGCACAAATCGCAGCTTTGAGAAAAGTTAACATTTTTGAGATAATGAGAAGAGCAATCGACTCTAAAGATTAATACAATATATAATTTTTTTAGATAAACGAAACGTTTATAGTTTTTCAAATTTATTGCTAGCAAGTAGAAATGTCATTTGTCTTTTGATTAAATTCGTAATGATTATGTATTCGTAATGATTAAATTCGTATGATATTTATAAAAAAAGAACCTTTTTTTGAATTATATACCAAAAAGAATACTATCTAGTGATGAAATGGTTACAAAAAATGCCCTATTTGGAATTATATTTTTTCTTTTAAAAATATATGTATTTTAATTGATTTTATTTATAAAAGTGCATCTCGTACACAGCACAGATTATTTCAACAATACTACATTAACTTTGTAAATGTTGTAGCAATGTTACTACAAGTTGTTTCTATGCTAAATGGTATCTTTCAAATAATTCAAATTGTGACATCGTTCGATGTAAGAAATAAAATGTTTGAATTGAGACTGTTTTAACCTTAAATTTATCTCAAATTGAGAAACATAAAATTTTTCTTCAGATATTAGTAAATTGTTTTCAAAGTGAGGTTAGAGTGTCACAACTCTTTTTATAAGAAATGAAATTTATATTATAATTAAGAGTTGCAGTTCGCATTTTGAAAACTTATCATGACATTTTAAAGAATACATTTAAAGAATATATCATAATGGAAAGTACGATATGGAAAGAAGTTATATTAATTAGCCTTTGTTATTAATTGAAACGTTGTTTCAATCCAGAATTTTAAAAGTGTACTACAGAAAAGTTGCTAATTTTAAGATGCGCAACTTTTCTGTTAATGCCGCGAAATGATAAACGATCAAAATTTAGTTAGTTGTAATCATCTTGTCACATCATTGCTTTCAAAATCTGAATCTATATGCTAAAATAAAAGCAATTGTCCATAGTTAAAACGTGTTTGATGCTGCGGCTAAAGACATGCGGAAAGTTTGCAAATATCGCATGAATCTAAATTCAGAATTGCATTTAGGGATTTATAACTACAAGTCAAAGCGCATCAAACATAAGATTTCTTTCCTCCCGGATCAGAACGCGACGTGAACATGTATGCAATATAACAAGGAATAAGATATAACACTTACCATGTATGTCGAGACAACCGAGCTCGGATATCATCGGACTAGTGTTGATCTGGCACATGTAACAATCTCTGTCGGTTTCCTTCAGTTGGCGAATGTGCAGACGCCACGTACCGTCGACGATTTCCTCCGTAACTTGGCTACTTCCGGTTACTCCTGAAGCACCACCGGATGCACCGGCGGACCCAGAGCTTGCCCCACTTTCATAGGTGACCGTGATACGTGCATTATGCGTCACGATCCTAGTGTGAATCGAGAGAATAGTCTGGTCTGAGGTGCGCAGCCAGCCAACCTAAAAAGCCCCGCAATGCGAATCTGTTATTTCGTCAAATGATATATCAAATGTGATACTTCTTCATGCTTTATCTGAGATGACACCCTTTTTTCGAGAAGCCAAAAACGTAAAAAAAAAGAAACTATGAGCACTAGTCACGCAAAAACTAGTAATTGCAAAGTAATTACAAAAAAGTATAAATTAAATCGAGTAGGATGATAATATGTGATAAATGTATTTGAAGGAAAGAAAGAAAAAAAAGGATTGCATAAAATAAAAATAAAACGATGTTATGACAATTACCTTTATCTTGAACATTAAAATAATATTTATATACTTATTTGAGATTTAAACGCGATGGAAGAGAGATTTATATAGGATAGGTAGTCTAACAGTGAACCACTATGAACCATTGCGATATTTTGTAAATGTGATGTTATCAGATTGTGCTGTTATCATGCAGCGACTCGCATTTGAACCACTCCTCAGTTTCCGAATTGACTGACAGATCACGCTAAGGACGGCCATGTATCACATTTTAAGAATTTTGGGTTGCAAAATAAATTTTTTTTCATAAGTTTTACGCATTTTTTATATTTTTGTTGTTATACCTATCATTTTTTTCATTGTGCATTAGTTTTGTATGCACATTGGGCTTTATTATTCTGTAAGCAACTTTTTTCTGTTGTATTGTTTTACCACATTATTTTGAAGATTACCGTGGAAAAGGTTAGATAATCTACAATCATTTTGATGTAGTGAACAATGAACCATCATTATAGACCATATAATCTTTTTTACGATAACCTTCAAAATAATAATTCATTGTGATAATTATTTTACGATAATTATTTATTAGAATACGGCCCCTCCTCTTATCTAAAATCTTAATAAAAGTATACTCATTCGACGCGTTTTTATTCAAAACGAAAGAATCTGGTAGAAAAACGCGGCGGTCGGCTTCGTGAATTCTTATCATCTTATAATTATCTATTTTCTAAATAAACATTTTAAAATATAACAAAATTGAAATAATTCCAACAATTCGCAATAGTGTAGTTCATTATTAAAAGTAGCATGATTTATTGTGTACACCTCTTGTACATCACTTCCCACCGTTTTTTGAAATAATTAAAATTGTGGCTAAACTTAAAAAATAATTTAAGCGTTATTGTTTACAGTATGTAGTCAACTAAATTTATAAACTGTATGCCAAAACTCAGATTTTCAACTCAATAATTAAGAGATATAAGCCTCTAAAATTTACTCATTGACTCATTGTTGGATCATTTACTCTACCCTGACATTTATGCTATGATATAAGTTGATATGATAATAAGTTTAATTTAATTAACAATAGGAAATAATGTGGAATATAATACAATATGACGTAATGGCTAACACAAAATGATTTAAGAAACATTCACAGATTTCTGAATGATAACGGAAATATACATATTTCTAAATATGGTATTGATATTTCAATATAAATATAAACCGATACTCCGAACAAAAAAGAATTGAAACACAAAAGAAAATAACATTATATGAGCGATTCTCAGACAACTGATAGGGATTGTATAAGATGGCGTAAAATGATTACATACCATATGGTATCATAAAAGTAAATTTGCGAATAGCAAGAGATTTAATAATAGTAAATACTAGTCTTAACTTAGACTTAGCACAGAGACCATTCGGTTATTATCTTAATTCAGTCCCATCCGTCTGGAATAACCTCCTCTTTCCTCTTAAATGGTACATTACAAAGAATGCTTTACGGATAAAAATCATCTGATGACATTTGCTTCATTAAACATACACAGTGAAAAATATTTTGTATTAAAACTGGTCCTTGTTAAAATTTTTTCGTTAAATTGTTAATATATCCGAATATTATTTTAATATAATCCGATTGTGTTATTTCTTGTTACATTGATATTCAACATTTCTTATTGTTAAAATAACACAATTTATAAGTTAAATAATTAATATAAAAATAATATATTTTAAAACGTAAGTTCTAAAATAAATTAATAAAATGTTTAAATTTAACACATGTATTTATTATACATGTTAATTTTATTAAAATGTGTTAATTTAACATATTATTCATTTAGTATAATACATAATTCATAAATTGTCATTTTTTAGTTGTTTGCAAAAAAAGCATGAAATTTAAAGTGAAAAAGAAAGAAAGTATAGTACATTTTAAAAGAACATTTATTCTTCTGCTATCAGTTGCTGTATCAAAACTGCATTTCAAAAAAAAGTCTATACCACTAGACTGAAGGTGTGTTCGGAAAGGCACTATTAGCGCTATTTATGTCATTCCTTGTTTTACGTTTAATAAATAACGATGACAGGTGTAGCGCTACTCAATAATAGCGTCTACCCAAATGCACCATAAGAGGTTTAAAAATCTTCCCTACTAAAAAAAATTATGTCACACAGTTGCATGATGAAATCATAATTAAAATATATAAATCATTTAACGGATTGTTCCAAATCAATATGTGATTTTTTTTTATAATTACATATTTTAGAAAGTCATATAATATGTTTTTTTTCTTTTAATTCTTTAATTATTTAATTTTTTAAAATTTGATAACAATAAAATCACATAATAGGTGAAACTATTGCTAATATCATGTGATTTTTCAAACATCGTTTTTTACATCATTTGAAAAAATCACCTACTGATTTAGAACACTCTGTTACATGTTTTAATTACATGATTTCATCATGTTATGTTGTGATATAATTTTTTTTAGTAGAGTCGACTCTAATTTGTCTTCCCTTCCCCTAAAAAATTCTTACGTCCATGCATCTTATGTTGAATTAACACAAAAATTTGAATAGATCATTTGGAACATGTAAAATGTGTTAAATTTAATAAAAATTTTCCAATTGTGATGTATTTTTTATTATTCATTAATTGTGCATCTTTTATTATTACGTTGGGTAAATGTATAGTATAACGGACCACCCTCCGATGACCTTAATGAGCTTGTTGTTGAAGTTATGACCCCGAGTGACCTTCGAAAGATTTTAACCCGTCGTCGTCCCTCGTTAAAAAGTTATTAACAAAAAAGTTTGAAAAATAACGCATTGTTTCTATTACATGCAATATTAAATATCATTTTATATAGGTTTTGACTTTTAACACGTTGACTCTCATCCCCCTCCCCTCTGCTTCAGGGGCACACAACTCTCACCATTTCTTCCCCCCTTGCAGGGTTTATCTGCGCTCTTTTAATTTAATATACATTATTATACAGAGGATTTTGCTTCGCACAATAAGCAAGAATTACCTTGAAGCAAAGAGAAAAGTGGGAAGGAGAAATCAGTATATGTATCAATTAAATAAAATCGTTCGCCTCTGAAGTAGGGGGAAGGGGGGGGGGTGAGAATCGGAGGTGAGAGTAGTGCGCCCCTTTGCAAACGGGCTTCGAGATGTCTTCCACCAGCGGACTCAATTTAATTCAATCTAACCAAGATTTCTTTTACTCCTCGTGTGCGTATTGGCTTTATTTTATATTACTTCTGATGGCAAAGAGCGACATAATATAAAGAGTAAGCTAACATTGGTGAGACAAAAAGGGAAGTTACTTTTATGGCAAATTTTGCACTCACTGCAATTCAATTTCGTCGCGTAACACATCCCCGGCGAATGCTATGTAAGTGCCTTACGTTTACGTATCAGGTTGCTCGATATTTGTTATGTTGCATTCTATCATCCGTTTTCGCACATTCTCTCACTCTCGTTGTGACAAATCGAAATGTTATATCAAAAACCGATTCGTTTAGCTTTTTCTTAAATTCAAGTTCTCGTGTTACTTTAATGGGATCCATCCGTAAACATGAGAATTTGCAGTGCCATGCGAGAAGCTATGAAAGAGTCAAACGATAAAATTTGCTCTTCGGTATTCTAAACGCGTAAGACTAGTCGACGCATTTGAAATCCCATTACAGGATAAGTATCAAATGCGTGCGAATTTAATACTGTATACCTTATTTGTGTGTTTACGTTCCTCATACTTCTCAACATCATTACCTTGTATTTGCGAATGCTTATGTTGCGTACGCTGCAAGAGAAGACGACCTCGCGGCCAATCGCGGCGGTCTGATTTCCAACTGGAGCTACGAAAATCGGGCCCGTGGCACTGTTTGTCGAATCTGAAACATTTATTTTCACCGATTTAATCTCATATAATTTAATGAGGAAAAACTTTTAAGAGACTCCTATTTCCAAATATTTCTATTCCATATAATTATACAATATAATACAGAGTGTCTCAGAAATAAGGTAGGAGTCGCATACACGGACAGCGGCGGTGGTGGCGCGCAGCCGAGAATGAGGCGCGATGGGCCGTGCTACGAATTCACATGACGCGGCTTCATCACACATTGATTTATATGTTCCTTTTTTTAATTCGAAGACTAGCGAATATCTCAAAATGATATGATACTTTATTGTTCCCCTTAACCTATTCTATGCCTCCAATGCGACTCCTACCTTCTATTTCTATTTCTAAGACACCCTGTATAATGAAATTATCGAGATAACTTCCCGTCCAATCGATAATGAGTAATAATTTAATGTTATCCTCTATTTTAAGACCTCACTCATCGATGCGAAAGAGATTAAATATTGGCGATGGAAAAATATTGGAGTAGAAATTTTATCGTTACTCTATTCATCATGATGACAGTGAAATCTTCTTTGAAAATATTTCGACGGGTCGTGCCGCCGGGACAGGAGCTCCAACTTGCCGATTAGCCGCGTGTGAAGTTGGACCAGTGTTGCCATATGAAAAATTAACATATTTCATATTTTCATATTTTATCTCATATTTTCCCTCCAGCCTTACATTCATGACTTTTTTTGCGCCCGAAGCAAAAGTCCGAAGGAAATTCCCAATTTCCCTCTAATAAACCGACTACTATCAGCTGAACACAATGATATCTTTTTAATAATGAACTAGTTTGCCCATTGCAAATTCTGTAAAGAATCATGCTCATTAGGCACTAAGAAATCCCTATTTTATTACATCTCTCCCTCTATCCGAGACAATCTTCAAAATGCTCGAATATTCGGATAATGAATTATTGGATGAGCAACACTTTTCTGCAACAATTCGTTGAAAGATTAGATAATAAAATACGTGAAGAAAAATGTCGAACCAATCACAGACGAATACGCGTTAATTCTGATTAAAGGGCTTGTAATTCTATCTTTATTTTAATGTTTAATGAAAAATAAATATATAGTGACGCGATAACGCTGACAGCACATTCCCCGAACGTCTCAACCGATTCTATAAAAAATCATAGATTGCTAGCGATCTTCTATATTCGCGGAGAAAAATACAAACTACGTTACAAAGAAAAAGAGAATTGTATTATATAAATAGTTTATCTTAGTTCGCTCAGTAATTGAAATTTTAAAATAAAAGTTACAAAACGATTTAACTTTATTTGCTCAACAGTTATTTAAAAAAATTATTTGTGTATGGAATTCCACACACGAAAAATTCTGACGTGTGTAGTACTCCATACACTCCGCAAAACATCCATGCGCCGAGGGTACAAATAATGAGTAAGTGCCTATTTTAGTTTCTTAAGCATTATTGCGGAGGGTAGCTAATTATCGCTGTTTATTCACACACTTGTGTTGGTGGATTACAATATTCTTAAATAGATAATGTCAAGTGGTCCGAACATGTGGTCCGAAGTTACGGCAAACTTGAGATCGAAGCTCTGAGGAACTTTAGGAGTGACTTCGTACGTGAAAATTTTTGTTTCTGATAAGCGCGCGGTTCAATATTTTTATTTTACAATACCGTCTATGTGACACGGAATATTTAATAAATCCTAGTAGTAAGTATCAGCGTCTTTTATACACGGGTGCAAGAGAAATAGATATCTATCCTTTAACAAAGTATTACAATCGTACTATATCATCCCATGTCATTAACGAGTGAAATATAGCGTTATAACTTGGAATTAAAGAGAAAAAAGAGATGAAGAAAAGCAAATGCTACTCAAATTTAAGCCGTCGCGAACATTCGCCTTTATTCTGCATATCTGTTTTATCAATGAACTATTTTTCTGCACATTTTCTCTTTTTTTGTCTCTCTCTCTCTCTCTCTCTCTCTCTCTCTCTCTCTCTCTTTCTCTCTCCTTTATCTCTTTGTTTCTCCGCATTCGCACGACTTCCACTCCAGCAGACACTATATCTAATATAAGTAATATCGATCCTAATTACTTTTATGAATTTAACGTTTCTGACACCGCGGGACAAATCGTTAGGGAAATGAAACGAGCTGCCAGAAAGGTACAGAAAAAACCTATTAGAATGCTAATAGTAACTATTCAACGACAGTTATAAACATTCAACACTACTGTAACACTAGTAATAAATAGTTTCCACTACCAATTATAAATTACTGATCAGTGTAAACATTTAGAATGTAACAGTAAGAACTACTGGAATAATCACTAGTGTAAAAAAACTGCTAGTTCATAGTGCACAATGATACTACTAACAATTAATAACGTTACTATTCATATCAGTAGTATCACTGATATACGCAATAGTGTCACTGTTGAATCAGTAGTGTTATTACTGCAGTAGTGCCGACATATGAGGTAACATAGAATATTTTCAGTAATTGTAATATTTGTATAAAAAATTTATTAGAGTAAAATTAATATATTGTTAGAGCATTTAGTATTATTTTTGCTTGTAGAAATAACATTTTATAGTATTATTAAAAACAAGTTATTATATCTTCATTTGTATATTACAATTATTATTTAACATTAATTATTTTTTCTACGTATTCCGTTTTTCTTTCATAATAGCTATGTTACAATTGTACGTTCATTAGTATTATAGGTGTTCGTGGTTCTTCAAAGGTGCTGTACGATCGCAGAAGTCAAGCAAGCTAAGTGGAGGTACATATTCGGATGGGTGACCACATGGGAGCATAAAATTAGTTCTCGAATTCAAAAAGGAAATCTTTTTTTAATTTTAATTTTGTTCATGTATCCTCTAAAATATGATGATGATCAATAATACTTATTTTTGCAATGAAACTTCAGTGACATTTTAACGAAATTTATTCCACCACTATTACACTACTAGCGAATTTATTATTGCACTATTTTCACTAGTAGTGATACTAGTAGTAACACTAGTAGTTTTTTTCCGTAAAGGTAACTACAGCATCCTTGTCATCATAAAAAGAGAGAAAAGAAAGACGATCATTATAACGGTGTAGAAACTCTTTTGTACTGAGTGAACGACCCAAATTCTCGAAAGGACATGGAAGGATAGATGAGAGAGGAGAAGGACTTTTGCCGTTCACGTTATCTTAAAATATCTTTGTGTGTTCTATAACACAGCAATGGATTCAATTTCGGCTATTGTAAAAAATCGTGTTACATAGTAATATATTTCACGTCGGAAATATATTTTTCTTAGAGCAAATATATTTAATAAGGCTTCAAGAAAAATAACAGAACATAATAATACAATTATGTACGTGAATCAAAGGAAAGGAAAGGAGAATGTTGTAGAAGGAACGTAAAAACATGTAAAGTAATAAACATATAGATAAAAATTAATTAATATATAAACAATAAATCTAAAGAAATGAGCAAAATTAAGGTATACATTTAAAAATGATTAATTATAATAAGAATGTTGAGAGAGACGGGGTGTTTTGTCTTAAGTGTGATCGGGGCACCTTGAAACTCGGAACACTATGAGACGCTTTCTGATTTAAATAGAGATGCGTAATAGGATAGATTAGTATTTTTCAAGAGGGCACTAGTATTCCATTGTTATCTGCTCGTTATTATAGCTAACATCAATGGTTATTTCCATTGATGTTAGCTGTAGTCATGAGTATTTAAAAATCATTTTGTCTTAAAATCAAAGTTAGAATGACATTTTCTGTCTGTTCTTTATGTGTTTCCTGTTGTTTGCATATGGTATGTGTAGTTAATTGTGCTGCACTTTAAAGAAAGTTTACTTTATACAGTCGAACCACCGTAAAATTAATCTCAGGTTTGTTTTAACCTCCGTAAACGTAATATTTTAGATTTCCCATATAATAATCGAATACATATGCTATAGTTGAGTCAAATTAAACTTTTTAGAAGAAATAATTTATATAGTTTTGATATTTTGTAAATAAATTTTCAAAAAAATTAGAAATAAGAAATTAAAAAATTCCTACTATAATCGTGATGGAACAACCCTTTTTTGGACGAAAAATTACCCTTGGAGCAGACTCGTTTTCCTCATTTATCTTCTAAACCGTTACTTTAATGTGAAAATATTATAGAAAAGATTTGTCATAAAATTCTGCATAAAAAATGTCTTATGCATCCTAATAAATAGTATAAAGCTAATTCTCATAGAATTCTTGTAATTAAAGTTCAAAGTTACGAGAACTTTAGCATGCATTTTCATCGCAAATCTTATAATTATTATTATGTAATATTTTAATATAAAGATTATGCATTTCGCGGGTTTCCTCTGTGTCCAGATCCATTCTTGGAATGCGTTTCGTAAACCTTGCAATCCACTTCATTAGGGTGAGGAGCAGTCTGATACTGAGTAGTAGTGTTCCTCGTCCTGATAAAGTGGACTGGTTCATGAAACGTTGGCATTCCAAGAATGGATCTGGACACGAAGGAAACCCGCGAAACACATAATCTTTATATAGAAAGCATCCGTGGAAGTTTCAAGAATATTATTCTTTTAATGTATTATGTCAAATTTTATCTTTGAAGCAGCTGCTTTGGTCTCTAGAATTTTGATACGATATAAGTAGAGGAAGCAAGTATACGTATATTTTCGACAACAAAGAACGTCGATTATTTTAATAAGGGACGTTGAGTCGTGAGAGACAGCTGTGAGTGTTTTTAAAGCGATAAAAATAAAATTTTAACTAAGTGTGAATTCATTATCTGATAATGGAGGTTACAGATAATTGTTTCATATGTGAGAAGACGCTTCAGAATGATTGTACATGTAGAGAAAGGCACAAACAATTTAATAGCCGTAAGCAAAGCTTGGAAAGATGATAAACACGTGCAACTTATAATAACGGTCGTGACTGTTCATAAGATATGCTGATGCGAAATATATCAAAGAACGA